GCTTTGGGTTTTTTTTGTTTTTTTTTTTTTTTTTTTTTTTTTTCTAAATAATCACCATAAGTGTCCCTGTCCTGAGATGGGGTTTGGGTAGGGAGCCCCTGTTGGTACATCATTTGTGTGTGTAGTGGGAAGGGCCATTCTGGAGTTTTTCCTCTTCCAAAGAAGCTACCCTTGCTCTTGTGATGACTTGGCTTCCAGTGAGGAGTCAGCAGAGGTCAGCTTCTCTTGGTGGATAAAGGGATTTACAAAGCAAGAGAATTAGTAGGACAGGATGGTCATAAGCAGCATCAACAAGACGTGATGCTAGCCCTGGATCTACAGCAGTATTCCATTCATACAGAGCTTATTGTTTAAAACCCAGTCATGTTTCGACATTGCAGTAAGTAATTACCACAATATGAGCTTGGAGATGTTTCCTGTATCCTGAGTTTAATAAGCACATCAAGTGTCTGCATGGAATGTGTTTAACTTGGGGTACAATTACAGTAACTAGATGTACTAATGATTATAGCATAATAAGGGATACACACTTCTGAAACACAGTGTATTTTGACAGGCAGAATGCGTGAACCATCATGATTTATCTTGGTCTGGGATTTTTAGAATTGCATTATGATCCTTGGGGTTCAGAAATATGGAGTAATCCCAGAGCAGTGCTAGACTGGAAAGGAGCCATAAGAGACCAAGGGGCTGTATCATGCTGCTGTGGGGCACTACTCAGGTGAGAAATACTGCTTTTCTGACCTTTTACTAGCACCAGATTCACAGTGCAAATGGTTGTATTGGGGCTAGAAGGCAGACACTGCTGCTAACTACCTTCAGACTTGGCTGACTGTATAGGGAAATTCTCTCCCCCCCTGTATAGTTTCAGCTCAAAGAGTTGGTGAGGATTTAGGAGATTCTTATTTTGCCTTAACCAACACTTTCTGAAGCAACACTAGATTAGCTTGATTTTATAAGCTCTTTAAGAGATACCTTGATCAACTTATTTTGATGCAGAGTGGGGATGACTGTGTATATGTATTCTTTTTTTTTTTTTTTTTTTTGTATACCCCAAAAATGTCTTTCATTGTGCATGAAATACACTGTTACTTAGTTCGGGCTAAGTTATTCTAAGCTTGCCAGCAAATCCTTTGAAATATTTCCCTAGCTTGTATATCATTAATCAGAGGGAAATAATCTGAATGAAGTTATACTAAGTAATTCCTCAATAGATGCTGAGAGATCAGATCCACGCCTGGCAAGGCGTATGAACAGGAGAAGCTGAAGGTAAGTGGGGCACCTACTGGTGAGACGCTGCAATGAATTAATCTATTATGTAAAAGTCTGGTCCAAGTCCTCCTGTACAGGCCGTTCTGTGTTCACTTTGCTTTGCCAGATAAGCAAGTGCTAGGCCTGTTTCCTGAGCTCTTTGGCCAAAATTGAAGTTTCTCCTTGCATAAATCCTTACTTACTGGCACTCCTTTAGAGGTTTCTGCTACGTATATTGCAAGAGCAGTTTTGTGAAATGTCTTGGCTAGAAGAAGAAAGGAAATGAGCAAAAGAAATTTGTCAAAAGATGTGGTGCAAGTTTTTAAGTCTCCAAGCCCCGCCACATTGTGCCATGGAAAGTTGTCTGTCTGTCTTAGATTGTAAAGCCATCTTCCTTGTACCAGGGAGCTACTTTGATACTCTGATCTGCTGGGTGTGAGAGAACACAACAATACTTCAGGGACATAAAATCCAGAGCGACCAAACATGGGTTGTTATCCACACAATCCAATTGCCATCCTCCATTCTTCGGAAAAATGTCATATGAAACAGCATGATATTCTTCACGTTCTTGAAATTTCAATGACTTCTGTGGCACACGTTTAAAAACGTTCTGATTTTATTTGTTGTGCAACACGTAACTTTTTTTGGCCATTTGGAGGATGTCAGCCTCAGGCTGACATGTTTCTAGCTACAAAATTCTGTGTTGCATCTCTTCATGCACATCAGACAAGGATTTGGAAATAACCCAAGGTGTTTTCCTAATCAGGTAATTAATTTCATTGTCAGGATTAACATTTTAGGATCAAACAATTAGCATGGGAAAAGCTTGCTGATCTCTGTACTTGGAGTGTGGATGTGCCCTTGTGAAAAGGAAAAGCAAACATACAAGAAGCAAAGTGAGGCAAAATGGGGAGATGATCTGATCAAATTGTTCAAATACCTTCCTTCTGCTGCCCTTGTAGATATGTCATCTTTACCTATCCAGCAAAGCCAAATATATTCTTAAAACTTTTAAAAATTCTGTCAGCTTAATGGAACAGTAGTCATACATCAAAATACAAAAGCACCCTTACTTCTGCTCCGCTGCACAGCACACTTGCTATGTTTAGCTATGCTGAGGAATGAATTGTTTTGTATAATCTCATCACAAGCCCTTGCTAAAAAAAACCCAATATGAGTCTCTCACTTGACCTGGGGCAAAACACCAGTTTTTGTGCTTTCCTCAGAGCTCCTTCTGCCACATATATTAGAACAATCTGGAAACAAGCAGTGATTTCAGCTGTCCTTGTCCGGAGTCAGTGGAGTAAGCAAAAGTCATTTTAGTCCTGTACTTGCATCTTTGCTCAGTTTAACCTTCCCTTTCAGAGAACTGGCTTATTTTTTCTGATTCTTTAGTATGTTCTACGCTTCATTTCACTCAAACTTTTGGCACAGCAGAAACAATATCAGTTTTCTTGCTCATTTTCTTTTATTTAGCCCTTATTAGTAGAAGAAAACAAAAAAATCCTTTTTATTGATAGCTACGAAACACTTTGATCTCTGAAATACAAGGTGTGCTAGATCACTGTTTAATCTTTCCTCTGCTTTTCTTTTTATCCAGAAGCCAAATAATACTTGATTCCTACTTCCAAAAACATTATTTCCTCTGGCTTAAGAATTCCACACCTACAAACTGAGGCTGGGAGAAATCTTTAGAGACACACTGAAGTACGTTTGCTCTGTTCTTTACATTCTCCCCCTGCATTTACCAATATACACCTTGGACAGTGTGGTTAGATAGTTCCTCTCCTGCTCCAAGGGTGCATGCGCTTGGTAATAGTGAGGGGGGAAATGTCCCAGCAGAAATTACCAATAAAAAAGAATGGAGCAAAAATCTTTAAGTTAACTGGAAGGTCTCTCAAGCCTGCACTTACTGAGAAGTAAAATCAAGGCATCTCTTTCTAGGAAGTAAAGACATGTCCTGTATTTCCTGAATTGCTTATCCTAGGGCTTCAGTTGAAGGGAAGCTGTTGCTAATGATGGCCAAATGGTAGCATTTTCATTACTTTATATCTAACTTTAAGGAGTTGGCTGCTTAGTAAGTACACTTACTCCTTTCTTCATAGAAACTAACTTATTAGTCGCTGAATTTGAGCAGGTGGTGTGGGAGAATGGTGTGAACTGTAGAACATGGCTACGGCTGATTCCTCGCCTGGACTTTCAGGCACAGCATTGACATATCTTAAGAGCACCGAGGCATGCTCCTGGCCTGTCTGAGAGTTGCAGAGCCCAGGCATTGTCTGGGGAGCAGTGGTTCAGAAGGTATAATGTTGTAGTCTTTGAGCTTTCTAATTGAAAAATGCTTTGATTAGCAAAGTCTAGACAGTGCTAGTCTGAAGTCTAGACAACTGTAAGTCTGTAAGTTTTCAAATAAACAGTTATCTTTTATGTATAGTTAATTGAATAGAAGCCAATGCTTCAAATCAGGATAATCTTTTATCATGTAGTCTTAAAATTAGTCTTCGATGCATCTTTTACAAGACTGTTCTGTTTCTGCCTCTTCTAAAGGGTTTCCTTCTAGGCTCTGTTTGGCACCTCCAAATGCATCAAAAGCTCTGATTGATAGACTGGCAGGAGACTTGCACAAGCATGGATTTGTTCAGAATGGTATTCAGAGACCTATTCTAGAGAAAGAAATGTGTTAAAGATACGCTATATAACTGCATTGTATAAAGTGAAATTATCCTATCCTGTTAACTCACATTTTAAAATGATTCTGCTGTTTGCTAAGGTGTTGTATTTAAAAAGAACACAACACCCGCCTCCAGTGCACACTTCTCATTCCGTTAGCTGTAGCGTGTGTGTTGGAGGCTGGAGTCTCTATTTACACTCCACTATTACACGTCTTTGGAAGTTTATTTAATCACCACAGTCTTCATAGATAGGCCCACAGAGACGTAGGAAAGCACAGAAGATTTTTCTGAACACTTTTAGAGGAATAAACTTCAGGAAGCCTGATTCAGCACTAAAGCCACAAAATTCTTACTCTCACTGATCTTGAGTAAGACTTAGATGAAGCCTTTTGTCTTTATTATCAACTTTCATGCCATTAAACACTGAACTTGACCTGTGCTTGCCCACTTGCCATTCTCTTGGATGCCCTGGGGTTCCTTGGTAGTTGGGAGATTCATGAGATTTATTTTTTTGATGTGTTTCAGACAAACAGATAATACACCGTAGAAGTTATTACTACTAGTTATGCTCCTAATTCTGGTAAGAAAGCTATATTATCCTTCACTGGAACACGTAACAGTGGTAACGTACTATCAAAGACTTTGTCGTTAAGAAGGAATCTGCTTTTTTGGCAGAGAAATGCTCCACCTTTTTGGTGTTTAAGAAACCTGTGTGTGTTAATTTGGCATATGTATTATTTCTTCACACTCAAAAGGCAGAAGATAAAAACTGGGTCAGAAATGCTAAACTGCATTTTATGTCAGTATCACTCACTATGCTATTTTTAAAAAATGGTAATTATTTCAAATAAAATTTTAGGTAAAGATTACCTTTTTATGTGAGAAAGAAAGTGAGACTTTCCAAAGTTCATTCTTTAAAGTTATTTAGCACAGTTAAATAGTTCTAGGCAATAAAAGAAGCAGGAAGAATAAGGAGGACAGGGCAGGGAGCAATGCAAAATATTACTGTCTCCTTTGTGTCTTAAAAAGGAAAGGAAGTTGCAGAAGCAATTAGTCTTGTGCTTCTACAAGCCACTAACATTCTTGTATTCCCTTCTTTTTTTCCTTCTGAGTTGGTTGGTTCTGGGATGGATTATTCCATTGAGGCATTTCAGGAGCTTTCAATAGAAGAAAGATGCACATCCAACAGAAGTTAGTAAAAACATACTCCAGCAGTTCTATGATCGTAATCATACTGGCACCACAAAACAATCCAAGCTGGCCACCTACATCAGCTGTAACAGAAGGAAATAAACATATGTCGTCCTAAGCATTTGGTTTAGTCTCAAAAGCAAAAAAACCTTGCTGGGTTCAAGTGTTAAATAAAATCAAAATACATAATCCATCACTTTAAGAAAACAGAATTAATATTCTTAAGAATGTTTGTTGGAAAAGACTAATGTGTTTCTTAAAATTCTAAATAAAGCATGTACAACAAAACATATCCTACTGTGAAACAGATACTTAAAGTATTTCCTACTTCTCTGCCTTTTTAACCATTCTCTTTGCTTCTCCTCCCCATGTTCTCCCTCTCCGCTCGAAATCCTGTAAACATCACTCTTCTTACAGTCCTTTGTGTGATATAGCTGTAAACTACTGCTAAACTTACTCTCAGCTACAGTTCATACTGCGGGTTCTTTAATGGAGTGACAGGAGAAAGACATGATTATTAGCATTATAATATAAAAGATATTTTTGTTTAGAAGCCAGCATAGGCTATGACTCAGCGGGGGGAGAGAATTAAAAAACCAAGTTTGTCTTTGAATTTATTTTATTTTTAGATTAATTATTAATCAGCAATAAATAAATATTAAACATTCACTTACCGAGCAACTCGGATATAGTCAAGGCCTTCTGCTGCTGTGTAATTTTGTAGCTCAGGTCATGATATTTAATGTCAATACGCACAAGGTTCTGCCTAATGACAAAAACATACAGTATTTTTACCTACATTTATCAGCATGGACCAAGTTCAGGGAGAGTGGTGATGCCTTTTAAAGAACAATTAGATGAGTGTTACCAAAATGAGTTAGATGACTGAAGGAAAACAAGTGTCCTAATGACAACAGTTACAATAGGAGCTTATCAGAGGAGTAGATCTTCCAGCTTTGTCGAAAAAGTAACTCTAGATCTGTACTGTGAGGTAGACTTGTACTTTTTAGGGGTCACAGAGATAAGCTTGAGTGGAAGTGTCAAACATCCTGACCTACAGCAGATACAGTGCTCTGAAGTGCAGTCTACCACTCTAGTTTATGTGCAACTGCACATTTAATTGTGCTTATTTCACTGAGCATGTTTGTGCAAAAGAGCCCTTGTCCTATACTTGAATGTTTAGTTCTGCCCTCTGCTAATACCCTCACGTAATTATATTCTTGTATCCTGCAAAAGCAGAACAGTAGGTAAATCTCAGCTGGAGCAAGGCCTGGGGAATGATTCAGTGTGAGGAAAGAGCTCATCTTTATGACATCATGTATACAGAAAGATTCTGGGTAACTGCTAAATAGAATATAAACATAACGGTTGTGGAATACATATGACACAAAACCTGATTGCACATGTAATGTTGTGACCTTTAAGAATAGAAGTAGTGATTATTCAGAAGTGTGAGCGGCTACAGGTTTTGGGATCAACAGTGATAATGAACTCATTAGCAATATTCACTGAAAATAAAGTGTTTGCTACAGAAAATGATCACTTTATCTCTTTAGGTGATAATTCTAAAATTCAGGTAGCACTGAGTAATAACAATAAACTTATTCTCATGGCTTCTATTAATAAGACTTCCTACCATTATCATGGAGTTGCTAACAGAACTATCCAATAAATATTTAACTTTTCCCTTCTTACATCTCCAGAAATCAATATTGCTCTATGTTTTACAGTTTGGAATATGTACTCATTAATACGTAGGCAGTGTTCCTATTGGTTAAGGCTTGGTAACAGAGGAATGTTCTGTATTTTCACTTGCTTAATTGAATAACTACTGGGTTGCACATGTTATTTACAGACAATAAAACAATCAACAAAGGTAAAGTGTCCTCAAAGGATTAATATCTTTTGCATGTAACAACAAGCTTAATTTTCATAATCTTCATTGGAGACAGACTTTTTGATAGGTTCTATAGTGATAGAACAAGGGGTAATGGTTTTCAGCTAAAGGAGGGTAGATTCAGACTAGATATAGGGAGGAAATTTTTTACAATAAGGGTAGTGAAATACTAGAACAGGTTGTCCAGGGAGGTGGTAGAAGCTCTATCTCTGGAACATTCAAGGTCAGGTTGGATGGGGCTCTGAGCAACCTGTTCTAGTTGAAGATGTCCCTGCTCACTGCAGGGGGTGTTGGTCTAGATGACCTTTAAAGGACTTTCCAGGGCTCAAACCATTCTATGATTCATATAGTTCCTCTTCATGTATAAACATGTGCAAGCATTTGGAGACTGATGGCTTAAAGAGTGAGAAAACTGAAGTCACTGAAACAATGAAATACTCATAGATATTCCATTAACCAAATTTTCTACAGTTCTTTATAAACATATTTTGTTGTTGTGGTTACTATGATTTAATGTAGCACCTATCAATACTTATTTGTACTGCTGACATCTATGTGAGCAAGAGGCAATTCAGTCTGTAAACTGTCTTAAATGCTCTTTGACAACAAGATTGTATCTTTCTAGCAAAAACATCTGGAAATGATTCTATTTTTGGATGTATAATACTTGTGCTTGCAAGGAAATCTGCCATCAATTTATTATAATGTAACAGTAAGGCACATATGCTCTATTAAGGCATAAGCATATATGATAACTCTTCCATGAATTAAAAGTATACAGATTACGTCAGCTCAGCGCTACTACTGAGCAACAGAGCTCTATGCATAAGTCCTGACCCCATTTCTTGGATAAAATACGTAGTCAATACTGTTGAGACACTATACTTATATGGACCCAAGTACATCTGATATATATGAATATATATATAAATATTAACCATTTTTGTCTAAGACGTTATTTTATCTCACAGACAACATTATTAATATCATACATAAGAGTATTTTTTTAAAAGGTCACATTTACATTGTACAATCTGGTAGCACATTTCTTTATTTAGACAAGGTGCTAGCAAGATTACCTGATGTATTCTGGGCTTTTCTTCAGTTTTGTAGAAAAGTATTTCATTGCTTTTTCTCCTCCAAAACTTGAATAGGTGACAGTGGTAGGATAATCTATTTCTTCACATGGGGCAGGGCAAGTGGAATTATGGGTTCCTACTGTACATAATCCTTTTATCTCTATATCATCTGAAATTTCAGGAGAAAGAATTTGCATGACATTTCTAAAAAAGCACACAGTTTTAAGACTTTTTTAAACTTACAAAAATTGCTTTTAAATTATAAATAAATGGGTTAGTTATTCTTAAAAAACTGGATACTTACCAGTTTTGAAGGAACAAATAAGTATTTTTAACTGGCATTTGGGAAATTGGTACACAGTAGTAAGGGTTGAGATTTTTTGGTAATTTTTTCCAAAGAAATTCAGCACCTCTAAGTCTTGCTGCCTTCATTAGGACTTTATGTGCATATTATTTCTCATCCACAGTTAAACAGTAGGTCAACAGAAGACTTTCCATGTTCTGTGCTAGCTTTCTGATTGCATACTTAGGTACATGATCCTTAGTCTTGATGCTTTGATCTTTGCTTAGCTCCTTTCAATGCATGGAAACAGCTTCCAGAACTATGTTAGTTGTAGCTTACTCTCATCCGATAACTACATAAAAATCTTGGTGAGATAAGTTCACTTTACCTTAACCCCTGCCTGCCATTTTTTAATTGGGTTTAAGATAGCTAGGAGGGCTTAGGGACAGCTTTGTTTCTTCAAATACCAAAGAGAAGTCACAAAATTCTCCAGGTCTTGGCTGCTCATGAAACTGGGGAGCCATTCCTCTTGTGGAACAGAAATAAATAATTATAGAAATCCTAGAAAGCTGGAGAAAATTAATGTGGAAGAAAAATGGCAAGGTATAAGTACTTCCTGAAGCACAAACCATAACCTAAAGCTATTAGATACCTGTACCATAACCTCCGGCTTGTGGTGCTCTGTTTGCCTTGGTGTGGTGGTGGTCGTTGCATCTGTTCCCTCCGTGTGAGAACTTCTCGCTTTTGCAAACCATAAGGGAGGAGATATCTCAGCCTTGTTAGTTAATGATTTGAGGTGCTCCCCAGGGATTCTAGGGTTGTGGATTTCGTTCTGGATAGCTGGCCTTTAGAGTTCCTAAAACAGATGCTCTCACCAACAGTAGGTCTCTCAGATACTGGGTCAGTGAGTGCTGCTGTCATTTGAGATTTTGTTATCAGCTGTTTTTCTCTCCTGTGCTGTAAAAGAAGATTTAGCACTGACCCTGGGGTCCTGGGGACCAGACACCTGAAAGGCAGGCATCCTGTGTGGTTCACCATGTACACTACTGTGTTGCCAGTTCCTGCTGGGGTCCACCTCTGAATCCTATCCACAGGACTTAGGGGTCATTTGTATTTGTTGCTCTGTGTTTTATTTCAAACTTAGTAACGGAATATCCATGAAGTAAAATAATATATTTCCCCCATGACAGGCTATCGAAGATTATGATCACTTAAGAATGTGAACTTAGTGGAATCTATTTCAAAAGAGCCCCAGGGAAAAAAAATAGTCATTGTTCATAGTAGTAGATCTTGCCTGAATGTTGTACACACCTAATCAAAACAGAAATAAACTCCTGCACAGGGCCTCCAAAACTTGTTAATCTACTTGGTTGTTTAATCATAAATTCCTTTAGGAAGGGAGAGTCACGTTGCATAGCAGAATCCAAGACAATGAAAATGAAGGTTTTCTAAAGTTCATGAGAAGTTACTTCTCAGACTACCATTTACAGTGTTTTCCAGAAAATCTGTTGTCATGGCTTAAAAATTCCATATCTACTGTGTGCAGATTATTTGCTTATGGAAATGGATTTGGAGCACTTTGAAAACATATAATCCATTTTACTTTTGAAAAGATAAAACCTTAAAGTCCAGTGATTTTGAATTTTCTATCAGTTAGCAAATCTGGTTTTACTGTGTCGTTCACTTTTCTGTCACAAACAAAAAGAATACAACACTGGAGCTAGAAGGATGATACCATGAAGATGTAAAAATGCAAGCCAGGGCTGGATAACTGAAAACAGGTTAATTGAACATTCTTGTATTTTGAACCATTTCTGATTACTAAAATGAATTCTTATGGTTTGTTAATTGGCAACTATTTAATACTCTGTCTGGTCTCTATTTTCAGAATATTAAATGAACTGGGATGTATTCTATTTCAGTACTACTTTCAGTAGTTTGTTTTAATTCATACATATTGTCTGCTATTTGGAGTTGGCTCAGAAAATATGAATATGGAGTTATTACTTACGGACTGCTGGATAAACACAATTGTAAAACTTCAGCAAATCACATTCTGTTCCATTTCCTTCAAAATAAGCAACAAACTTTAGGAACTTCAATTAACAATCCAAACCCTTAGCTCTATTTGTATTAAACTGGAATGTAATGTCATCAAAGCCTGCGCACCACTCCATGTTTATCGTTATACAACTGAGAAAATGATTCAGTTGGGCCCAGTGCAGTTACCAACACCAAAATGGGTACACAGTGAAGACAGACATCAGACTGAGCCAGGAGGCTTGCTGTTGGAGCAAACATCTTTATTATGTGTGCCAGCCTGAACGGCCTTTAAGCTTTTGGGTCACTCTTTGCTTTAGTTTCCTAAGGCCAGGATTTTCTGTTTTTTCTAGTGAAAGTGAAAAAATGAAGTAGGGTAGACACTCCATGTGTTTCAGCAGAAGTTTTGAACTTCATGCAAGAGTTGTTTGGAGACCTAATGAGTAAGATAACATCTTGAGGTAGCTGCAAGATTTTGAGATTTTAGATGGTCTCCGTTTCACCCCAGGTTTTTCCCTTGCGTGGAAATATTACTTAGCAGTTTTGCACACAGTTAAAGAAGGCATTGCCCTCCTTTATCTAATTGCCACTGTATAACGCTCTCACCCTAGGTGTGGGAGACCTAGACTTAATTTCCTTCTCAAACACATTTCCATGAGAGTTTCCAGGGGATTGCAAACCTCCTTTCCAAGAAGTTGTCAAACAAATAGGCTAGAGATTACTTATTAATGGGTGTCCCTTAGTGAAAACATTCTGTTTAAAAATAGAGAGTCAGAAAATGCAGGCGTGACAGTGGCTTTCTCATCCACTAATTGTGAAAAAATTGCTGTGAGAGCACAGATTTGGGTTCCAGCTCTTGCTTCAGAGGAAAGTGACAGTATTATCATTACTTTTAATGCTGGAAAGGTGGGAGACAGGAGACTGGTCAGGGCTCAGTCGCTGCTTTCTGTTTCTAGAGTGATTAAGATGCCTGATTTCTAGAAGGGACTATTAGAGCATACATCTGTACTCTGCATTTCTGTCTGATTAGACAGCTCCATGCAGCCTTTTGGCTTTTGCAGAGCCCTCTTCTAGGTGCCAGACTCTTTCCAAGGTTCATGTGGGGGACCTCGGTTTCTGTCTTCAGGTAATCAGTTCTGCTGTGACTGCTGAACACTTGCAAAGTAGGTTTTCTGGGGTACATGGGAAGATCTATGACTTCTTATGGATTTGGTTCCAGCTCTTTAGGGAGTCAGGCTGAAGACTACAGACTTGCCTCACTGTCCTGAGGCATAATCTTTTATTTCAAGTATTTTGGTCTGCATCCTAGGAATAGCCAATGACCAGATGCTAGGTCTAGAGTCTAGAGCTGACCAATTATCTTACTTATTTTCTCTGTATTAAAAAAAAAAAAACAACAACCAAACAAACCAAAGACCCCAACCAAACTAATTTATATAATTTTAGTTAATCCCAGCTGTAGATATTCCTCAAGCATTTGCCATATCTCCTTTGCTTTTTAATAACAGGTGAGGTCTAGCAAAATGATCAGCATATATCATTATGATATTTCTGAGAAATACCTGGAAGAATGAAAGGCAAACAGCCACACCAGTCCTGAATGTACCGGGCCTTGCATTCCTAATTCCTGCAAACATGCGTTAGTACTGTAAATCTTGTGGTACTGAAGCTTTATATCAGGCTTGCACTCTCCCCATGGGTATTCCTGGATAATTGACTGTAGAGTAATAATAACAGAAAATACAATTTTTTGTCTCTGTTTTAAATTGAAATATTATTTTCTCACATTTTAAAGTGCTAAAGGAAGCCTGTTGAAGACATAAGCAGTAACATTGTGATTTAATTGGAGACAATTACAGTTTGTGCTTTTGGGATTATAAAATCATCTCCTCTCTCTCACAGCAATAGCAGGATCTAATCAGATAGCCTAGCACAGAAGGATAATCCACACCACTTGGATTCCACTAGGAATCTGAGACAACACTAATAGCAACAGAAGGTGTTGATGGAGCACTGCCCCAGTGTCCTTTTATCATATGTCAGCAAGACTGCAACATGTTAGGTAAGAAAGGCTGATTTTAGTAGATACAGATTATGAAGACCAATGACATCCCCCAGCAAAATAGTAGTAATTTTGTTTGTGTCTGGAGGAAATGTTACTTTTACGAGACACTTTGGCATGATAAATATTTTAACTTTCAAAATGTCTAATTCATTGTCACACTTCAGAAGAGAATTAGAGACAGTAAAGACCAATATTTCTGCTTGATGGATAAAGTCCTTACCTTCAGCTGGCGAATTGCGACCTGTGCATGCGTGCTGACTGGTGTTAATAAACCTAAACCATCAAAGTGTGGAAGCTCTTTGGGTGGATGGATAACAAAAGTTATGCCAGCATCAGTATAACCAAGAGCGGGTTCATCAGTGAATTGTTCCTGATGGAAAAATAAGTATTTAAAATAGTTTTGGCTTTGCTTACCCTCTGAAACTTGAGCTGTATTTAAAATGGTACTATGCTTTTCACTTGGTCTTGTATCTCTGGTCACATCTTTGGTAATTTACAGAAAAATATAGAAGCAAGCTGACTTAAATTTCCTTTATTGATTGACTTAAATTTCCTTTATTGAACCCTATGTGGGTTTACTTCCAGTTACTATAAACTTTCAGGGTTTTTATTCCTTCTATTATCTCACAATTTCAAAAACAAGAAGGCATAGGTGAACACTTACTCATAGCTTGGATATTAATCTTTTACTTGCGACTACCCATCAGGTTTCAGCAAACTTTCCATTACTGTCTCCAGAACCTGTCACTCCTATCTCATAATTCCTAGAGAAGTGAATCTCTTAAATCATTTATCATTCTAAACTTTAGTTTTCTTCCCCAATCTCACAAGGTGACATTCCCTGATGTTTTCTGAGTTTTGTTGGACAAAGACAATTCTAATAATGCCAGAGACTATTTACAGTGCAAAGACCAGATCTTAGCTGGAATTGAGGACTTAGAGCTGCTGCTGCAACTAAAATTCAATACTTAGAAATTGGCATCATATAACCTTCCTACTATGGCTTTTATTAAAATGAAATTATGTAGTCCCAAAGTGCTTGCACAAAGTTAAATTACTGCACTGATGAAGTGTTTCAGTTGTGGATGAAGTGTGTATATATTTACATACGTACACTCATTCACAACTTTCAGAAGCATTTAGCTGGGGCAGAGTCAATAATAATTCAGGATTTTTAAGTCTGTATTAGATCTTTCCTTCAAAATACCCTCTCACTCAGAAATAGTCTTGATAAGGAATTTTGTGCATCAAATTCTAAAGATCTGTGTAAATTCAACCAACCAAAACCAACCCCCAAATAAAACATCTCTACTCATCTATAAGTTACGACATGATTCACTGCTGTCATTAGGATAGCTGTACCTGCTGGACATCAAAAAGTAGATGTAAGCCTCTTCCAGACAAAGTCACTCTTCTTGCTGGAAGATCATTGTGGTTGAAAGTAAAGCAGTTCCCATATTCAGTGAAAACATGTTCAAAATCCTTCAATAAAGGAAAATAGGGAAGAATAAAATGAAAGAAAGACCACCTGAAGGTTCATTAGCGAGTCACATGCAGGAGAGGGACTACTGGGGTTGGTTGTTTTTTCCCCCACAAAGGTGGTACTAAATATTACAATCAGAAAAGCGGTAATTGATAGAAATATTGAAAAGGATTTAATCTCTTTCTAAGGAAATGAAAGTTAAAGGAGAAATTTCACATTGTTTATTAACACCTATGAGCTGCTCAGAATCATTGAATGAGGTCTTATTGTTTTTCTGTACCTGTTAGATTACATAGAAATGATATATTCAGAAAGAACTTGTTTAATTTTTCCAGTAGATGTTTAGTGAAAACTGTTTCAAAACTGAAGTACAATATTTGCATTTTGTCCCAGAGCCACCTCATCATTTAACTGAAATCATTTGCTGCTATGCCTGTATCTCATTGTTTTACTTTTAGTTATTATCAGTGGTGCCTTTCAGTTAAGAGAACTCTCCAATACTTAATTTTAGAAGCTATAGCATAACTAAAGGTTAGATTAATCTGAAAGAATATAGGCCTGAATTTTCTTTTCACATTTTCTATTTAAATCGGGAATTGCTCTGTGGAAGAATTGACATAAAAATGGGATAATCATGTTATTTGTCTGTTGTCCAAAATTCCAAAAGATGGGCTGTTTTCATCTCATTATTTAATATTCCTGTGGGCTCTCAGAATATATAGTTACCCTGGCTGCCTATATTCTTGACCTCAAGAAAAAAAACTACACTATCATGTCATGCAAAAAACTCTGTTCAAATTGACCTTCATTATAGACCATTTATGGAAAAGGTTGCTAGATGCAGCCTGGAGGTATGACAGCTTTCACAGGCTGCTATCTGTGCAGAAGTTGCACTATTCAGAGAACAATTTATACTGAAATCCCATTTTACAGCTCAGGGAGTCCAGCAGGCTGTTTCTGCAGTCAGTGGGAGAATTGGGATCCTTGGGGTGATTTAGAGCAGGACTTTTTTTCTCTATTGGCTGACTGTAAAGGGAAAACAGGGGAAGTAGCTGGCAAAGCTATATGGCTCATGTTGAACAGTAAGACTACAGCCTGTTGTCCTCCATTCTACTGTTTTAGTACAATAAAAAATATTTACCTGTGGGTAACATGGCTTTCCAAAAAATTCACATTCTAGCAATGTACTGCTGTTCAGATAAAACCCATTTTTCCGTGTAAATTCTTTGATGCTGAAGTTCTGGTTCCCAAGAAGGAAATCATTTAGCTCTTGAGAGTATTTATCTTCCATAACAAATTTTTGGAGAACTCCAGACACAATGTTCCAAATTAAAAAAATGATTTTCAGGTTGCTTACTGCATGAGCTTGAAACCTGTCAGTGGGAAGGAGAAAGAATTGCTTGGAGTTCTGCAGAGTTATAGGACTGATCTCAAGGCTGCACTTGCCAAATCTATGACACAATACGCTGTCTGCTCGCAAGCTACAAGTGATTCTTGCACACCATGCTGCACTTTGATCTCTACAACATGAATAAACAATATAGTCTCTGTTTCTAGGAAGAAATTTTCCATATCTGAAAACAGAAAAGGGACACCTCCCTTATGGCTCTTCTGGTCAGTCGTATCGGGAACTTTTCTGTTGTGTGTGGTTGTTTGTGAAAAAAAACCCAAAAAACCAAAGCAACAAAGAAACCTGAGTAGATTAGCCATCTGCATAAGCCAATAACTAGATCTGTAGAACTGATGACAAGCTGAACAATTGCATTTAGATGTGGGAAACTAGCTGGGAGGAGCTGTTCCTTTCAAAAAACCTGTCTTCCATTATTTAGAAAATTGATTTCTAAGTGCACTTGCAGTAATCTCATGTACCTGCTTTACTAAGGCACTACACCCCAGTGCAGAGAGTCAACCTTCCCATGAGCTCTGTGATTGGTGACACAGTGGTATAAACCAAGGGTGATCCTTACTCGTACAATCCACTTGAAAAATCTCAAGAATATGATGCGGCATTGGAGGTGCTTTCCTGATATACAGCATTTAAGTCCTTCATTGAAGGAAAGTAGGATTTTTCAGAACAGTTCTAAGTTTGAAACAAGAATAAACACAAATGAAACTACAATATCATGTTCTTTAGAACTGCCATTTTCTGTAATCCTATTTTTAAAAACGTATCAATGTATGTAATAGATCTTAATGCTCCACCTTAAGGAAGATTAGTAAGAACAACTCTTCACAATTGAATTTGAGTAAAAAAAAATAAAGACAAAGGTAAATCTATGCTTCTTTTTTCTGGTAATGACAACAAAAAAATGGTTACTAAAAACAGGAGGGAAGGAGAAGCACAGCATGAACAACAGATGGATGTGGCAGCAAACTGTCTTTTAGGCGAACAACTGCCATGTTCAGTAGTTGACTATTTACTTACAATGTGCTGCTGTTATAGTTACAAGGAGTGAGGCATTTTTATAATAGGCAGCCCTCTGTAATTGAGAGGGGCTTCTATCACCAGTGCACGTTGTGTAGTATAAACCAGGATGGCTTTGTGCAAGGCAATGGGAAGGAGGAGGCACAGTGAGGCAGAATGGCTCCAGATATTTGAGACTTGGACTTCTGGGTGATTCTGGCAGCAAAAGGTAAGATAAAATAAGAAGATAAGAAAACTTGCAGTTCTTGAGGAAACAATGTGGGTAAACTTTCAATATTTCTAAAACTGTTCCTAAATAACATATTTGCTCTAAAAATCAGTCTGTAGGCTTATTACATTATTTTCCAAGTGGCTGCATCTGAATCTTGCCCATTAAGTGTGGAATTCTGTAGTGATGTTCCTGCTTAGATACATGACTTCCGAACAAACCAAATGCTTCTCTCCTGCAAATCCCACTGACATTATCTGGAACAATAAAGGCTGAGCACCTCTGGGGAAAAAAAAAAAAAAAAAAAAAAGTCTCTGCTTTGCCTAAGATTTCTACATTTATATGAGGTTTCTATTTGCAAATCTTGTATTTTATTCTTAACTTGGCTATGATGCACTACTGTCCCTTAGTTACACTGTAGAAGCAACACTCATACGTGGAAGAACAATACCAGAGAGGTTTTTCTACTCTAACTTACGTTTTGAAACTTGAAAATCTGTAGTGCAATTGTTCATCTGAAGGAGGGGGAAGATTAAAAAAAACTAATCTCCATTCCTTGATTTTCCTCTTCATTTAAATCTCATGTGGTGGTGTGGAAGATGTGGCCCTGAGAGCCATATTTTCCTTGTTTTATATGATTTGTTCAAACAAATTGTGGAACCTGACTGCTTTTAGATAAAGAGGTGTTGTCTCTCAAGAGCAAGCAACAAATATGAATTTTACCTGTTCAAGTTGCAAAAAGTCACAGCAGGGAATTTGACATTTTCCACATACTGAACTACCACAGTGGTTGTGGTTGGCCAGCTGAAGTAGTAGATGAAGCGACTGCAGATTTGCCAAATAACAATGGCAAGACAGCCCGTGACTACTAACAGCCACAGCACTTTGCGAGTCTTGCTCTGTGTTCGAACAATATTATACACTCCATGAAATGAAGTGGATGAGACAAACTCCTGGTGATACTTCCTTCTGTCTTCCAAATGTGGCAGCAGTTTCTTTATTAAGTACAATCGTATCTTTTCCAATGTTCCTTAATATTGAAGAAAGTGACAACACATTTTTCAAATTAGAATTTAAATGGCACTTAAGAAAAACCATGTAATTCTTATACTGGAAAGCAGTTGTAATATTTCTCTTTAATTGTAAATTCTCTCTTTAAGAAGTGAACTTGCTTCTGAGGATGGTCTATTGCCCTGTAAGAGCTGTGTGCTAGGAGGTTAGGTCAGTGTTGCCTGAGAACAGATTATATACTTTGTGATATTCTAAGCACTCAAATTTTTAAATGAATTAATATAAAAAAGTAGTTCCACTTTTGTGGAAAAGATTGGGTTTTGACATACCTCAGTGATCTAAGGCCACAGGTTGCTGTGAACCTACTGTAAAAAGCTAAGAATCTCATTTTTACAGTAACATCCCATTAAAGGCCTGTTCTTTCATACTTACTCTGAGAGTTAAGGAAAAAAGGGAATGATATGAAAGCAAATTTCATTCTTTCATTATTAAAAGTTTCTGCATAAAACCTGAAAGGTTATGGGTTCAAAAGGAAATCTACTCTCATTTCTTTAGGTTCATACTAGTCTGATTCCATAACCTTGAAACAAGTGGTTTTAGTTTTCATTTACCCCATGGTTTCTACAAACTGTCCTAAAAAAAACCCCCAAAATGAACAAAAAACCCACCACCAAAAAAAAAACAGACCCCAAACCAAACCATTTTAAAATATAAGTTTAAGAGCTATAACCGTAACGAATATAATCAATACCTGGAAATGTAGTCATTTTCTTATGCGTGTTGCTGAATGATCTTTGGAGCATGGATTTGAACAGAATGTCCTTTCTCAAAACATCCAAATGAGGGAAACTTAATAAGACTTTCCTGTATCTGGTCATAATTGGACCAGCCTCTTTTAAAGTGTTTCATTTACAGATTGTTATCCACTACTTATTCCATCATCGAGAAAGTCCATAAGAACAGTAAATCAAAGAAAGTTTGTGAGACAATAATAATTGAGATGTGAGAATGCATTATTAAGATCAGTGTTTAACAGCAATTAAATACTTCCCTAATTAAATTTTTTAACAACAAAAAAAATAGAATGAATAGTGTGGCATGTGTTGTAGGAAGATAATATAACCTCCCTAAGACTGATTTACTTGAGGCTCTTACAGTTGGGCAAAGGAACAGAGGGAGGTAAGAGTCATCTGCCAAAGCTATCGTGACCACATCAGCACTCTGGGATGTTGCTTTGGTCTCTGCACAGTCCCTGGACTGTGATAATGAAATCCCAGATGGTGCTGGATTTAAACATGTTTCTGAAGGGAAATAGTTTTCTTTATGTTGTTCTTTAAAGATCTGTGTAAGAACTTTGATTAATACTGGTATAATTTACTGTGACCCGTTTTTATCATCAAACAGTTTTCTACTGGAAAACAGTTCAAAATTTTCTCTCATAGCTCTGGTGACTATCGGATCCCTTTACAAAGCTGTTCAGCCATGTATGCTTTTGTACATTGCACTGGAATGAAGTGGGTTTCTGATTTTGCTGCATTTGGGATAGGTGGCATTTGTAGGCTTCTCTCACACCAGAGCGTGTGCAGTGAGAAAAGCAGTTTGTGTGTTCCCAGATAACTGCAGAGCAAAGTACATTCCTACCATGTGTCTGCATCTGCTGCCTGTAGACTCCAACAAGAGACCATAAGCAGGTCAGACCCTTTACAGCAGGGAATGTGCTGTGTGTGTTTATTCCTCCTATAGACACTGTGCTAGGTAAGAGAATG